ATTCTGTAGTATGTGTTTTAGCATGTGATAAAGATCCAAGTAATCCTATAATTTTGGGTTTAGGGTTCAATCTTCGTATTCATGTGATTTGTGTAACTAGGTACATCGTAGATCTGCTTTGGAGGGTCTTTGGCCCTCAAAATTTGGCATTCAAGATGACTGTAAGGCAAATACATTTAATTGCAAAAATAACCTAGAATACAGATCTGTTGGACAAAAATCCTTAGAATACAGATCTGTTGTTACAGATATTTTTTTTCTTTGTTGTTGTTGTTGTTGATCATTCCTCCCTAATGATAATTTTTTTTCTTTGTTGAACAGATATATTTTGGATTTAGCTATTCAGATCTATAAAAATTGTTGTGTTTTTTTATCTGTTTTGGTTGTTGCTTTTATCTATTGGTGTGTTGATTATTTTTTTATCTTTTGGTGTGTTGTTTGTTGTTGAAGTAGATAATTCCAACAGATAGAAAAACAAGTTTGTGAAATTTCAAACAAACAGAAAAATGGGCCTTTAATTTGAACAAATAGAAAAAAAATAAAAAAATTTGGACAAATAGTCAAAAAATTTGAATAGATAGAAAAAACATTTAACAAATAGAAAAAAAATTAAAAAGATAGATATAAATTCAACAAATAGTCCAAAAAAAAGTCAACCTAAAAAAAAGGTCCACAGATAAATTAAAGGGTAAAAATTGAAGACAAATTGTTCTCCCAGAATAACAAAAAGGACTCCCAACAAACTATTTCATAAAAAATGGACATTTTACCACAAAAAATATCCACTGGACCTAATGTCATATACCCTCCTTAAACTAGATTTATCACCAATTTTTCCTATTTTATATATATCATAAATGAAATATATCTAATAAATGATTTCTCTCTCTTAGATATATGGTATAATAACATATATATTATAATAAAAGTCTATAAGGGTAAAATAGTCCACATTAATACTTCTAATATAGAATAAAAGATCCATTAGAATATAAGTTCAAAAGTATGGAATTAGGTGAAACACAAGAATACTTTGCGGATTTATTAGCTTATAAGTGCTCTAAATGATATTTATGAATAAATTTCTCTAATTGTTAAAGTTAAAGATTTAAATAGAAAAAAATAAAAATAAATAGTTACATCGAAGCTAAAGCAAAGTTAAAGTGCTTACATGGAAGAATAAAAAAGGTTATATTAAAAACTAAAATAAAGTTAGGGACTTACTTTTGTCATATTTATGATTTGAAAATCTATTAAAATATTAAGGAACTCTCTGTCTTATTTTTTTAATCATTAGTCAATTATATCTTTACATATTATTATTTAAAAAAGTAGAATTTATATCATTTTTTTATTAAATAATTTATTCTAATCCCTTCTTTTCTTCTCCTTGTATTTTATTAAATTGACTCTATAATTGATTGCTTCAACATATTCATCTTTTTCTTTTTCTTCTTCTCAATTTTTTTGAAGAACTCAAAACTAAAAGCAAAGAAAAAATGATTGAAAAGGAAATCCAACAAAAAAAAAAAAACTGAAGAATAAATGAGTAAAAAGTAGGGGAAATTGCAAATATATGAAACATTACAACTTTGACACACAAAAAGAATTACACCAAGTATAGGAACAATATTCACTATGCACACACTAGATTGCACCATAATAAAAATATAATTTTTTTCCAGTGTTGCACGTAATTGCAATTTCCCAAAGTAACGAACAGCATGAGTACAAAATGGGTCATTGCCAGCCACTGAGATGAGATGCCATTATTGACTTCTTTCATTTTATAATTCTGATTCAAAGTAGAGGAGGGGAAATTCTATTTCCACCACCTTAATAAACTCAGGACAAATTTTTTTCTCAATACACATCTCTATTAATTTAATTATTAAGTAATTATCTCAATCCACATCCTTAAAATTATAAATAAATCCTCACTCTATGTACACACACTTTACCCTCAAAATACACACACTTTAATTTATCCCAATTTACAATTCTACTTCAAACAGGAGGGAAGAAAGAAAATCAAACAGGATTAAAGCAAAAATATCTTCACCATCATCATCCTATTTCTTGAAGAAGACGATGCCCCAAAATTATAAATTGACTAGGTTCTTCAAACAGGAGAGGAAGAAGACAGACGCCCCAATTATATAAATTGACTAGGTTCTTCAGTGCAAAAATATCTTGGAAATATTCTTGATGATGTCGCCACTACCCTCTTTAATTGACTTCAACCCACCTTTCCTAGGTTCTTCCCCGGGAAAATTTCAATTCGGTTCTACAGAGCCGAAATAAGTAAAATAATTCGGATAATAAAAACCGAAAATAATAACAAAATTCGGTATTCTAGTGCCGAAAATGTTAATTTTGTTCGGAACTCTAAGACCGAATAGTTCTAGTGACGAATATTCATATTTTTTCGGTATTTGATAACCGAATTAATATAACAAATTCAGCACTGCGTTTCCGACTAAAAAACGCAAAAAAAAAAAAATTATTAGGAGTGTTGATCAAAATCAAATAAAATTGTTGAACTAATAATTAAATGATGTTAATAATTGAGTATAAACTTAAAGATTAAAGCAATAGAGGAGATGTTTTGTTTGCCAATAACAAAGATGAGTGCAGAAGTGTCTAAAAAGCAAAGTGACTATAAAAAAAAAATTAGGGTTCAATTTTTTGTTTCAAAAAGTGTATTGAGATATTTTTATTTCTAAAAGATGTGTATAGAGAATTTGTATATATATTATTAGGAGTGTTGATCAATGTCTATTATAATAATTTTAATTAGGATATAATTGTCATTAATCTAATTTTTCATTTAAGTGTGTCCACTGAGGCCCTGCTTTCACTTTAGTCAAAGGTGCCAAAAAACCATTTGTCCATTTGAATAATTGAACCAGTTAATTACTAGTGTGCCCTTTGTTAATGTAGATTTTTTTTTTTTGGGGGGGGGTCTTCATGTATTGACCATGTTTTTGGTTTATGCATTGCTTGGTTTGTATTGAGTCTACAAACTTTATCTACCAAAGTTGTTCCTTCAGCCTGTTTTTCCATCCCTGTATTGCTTCCTTTCTTACCTTTCTTATCATTTACCTACATACCAAAATTGTTAAAAATTTGCAGAGGTTGTTCAACCTTGTTTTTGATCTCTGTATTGCTTGGTTTCATTACCTTTCCTTCTTTCAGAACAAACACCATGGATGTGTTTGGGATCTTTATCTCTCCATTCGTACAAGCTATGGTTGATAAATTGTCCTCTTATTTTAGCAACTTATGAGCACAGCGGATGTTGGCACTGGCATCCAGAATCTGAAGAAGGCATTAGAGGATTTAGAGACTCTGTTGGCTGATGCAGAGAACAAACAGATATACCACAAGGATATCAAAAAGTGGCTTAAGAGGTTTACCATTTGGCTTACAATGCAGATGACATTTGGATGATTTTGCCACTGATGATCTCGAAAGGAAAGCTAATGGCGGACGAGACGACGATCGAAGAAGACCAGATAAGTTTCCACGCCTCTCCAATATTGTTCCATTCAATTTAAAAAATGGGTCAAAGCTAATTGAGATTACTAGTCAATTACAAGAAGTTGCTACAAAAGGAAAAGAACTTGGTTTAGATAACAGACTTGTTGGGAGGATGTCTACAGATTTACGGCAGAGATCACAAACTACATGTTTGAAGGAGCCTCACATTCATGGCAGAGATGAAGACATCAAGCAAATTATCGAATTGCTACTTGGGGATGCACCTACTGGAAATTTTTTTGATGTAATTCCTATTGTAGGCATGGGTGGGATTGGCAAGACTACACTAGCTCAGCACATTTACAATACGACCAAGTGGAAAAGCATTTCAATAAAAGCATGGGTTTGTGTTTCTGATGACTTTGAAATTATGAGAATAACAAAGCGAATTCTTGAGTCATTCACTCACGGTTCATGTAATTTTAGTAGCTTAAATGAGGTTCAAGTTCAACTTAGCAAAATGTTGGCAGGGGAAAAGTTTTTGCTTGTCCTAGATGATGTGTGGGACTATGGACGTGATGGGTGGAATTTGTTACGATCCCCATTTGGAGCTGGAGCACCTGGAAGTAAAATCATTGTGACAACGCGAGACAGAGGTGTTGCAAAGCAGATGGGAATGGATAAATATCACAATTTGCACAACTTATCAGATAGCGATTGTTGGTTAATCTTTTCCAACATGCATTTCAGACAGAAATATTGAGGAATACAAAGAATTGGAATCAATTGGTAAGAAAATTGTTGAGAACAGGTGCAGAGGCTTACCCTTGGCAGCGAGGGCTCTTTGGCAGCTTATTGTGCTGTAAAGAAGAAGAACGTGAATGGAAAGAGATACTAAACAGTAATATATGGAATGAGGAAAGTGGCATTCTCACCGCATTGAAATTGAGCTACTTCATCTCCCTGTCCATTTGAAGAGGTGCTTTCCTACTGTGCAATTATCCCAAAGGACTACGAATTCACGGAGGAGGAATTAGTCTTGTATGGATGGCTGAAGGTTTAATTGAGCAACCAAAAGGTGGAGACAAATGGAAGATTTAGGTAGAAGTTTTTCACGAATTGGTGTCAAGATCATTTTTTCAACCTTCAAGTGGTAACAAATCGCTATTCATAATGCATGACCTCATCAATGATTTGGCTCAAGATGTCGCAGGGGACAAATGTTTCAAGTTGGAAAATAATTTAGAAGGTGGCAGGCACAGCAAGATTTTGACAAAGCTCGACATGCATCTTATGTTGGTAGCTACATTGATGGAATCAAAAAATTCAAAGTTTTTGATGATGCCAAATACTTACGAACATTCTTACATTTTTTTCCACTGAGTTTCCATGCAACGAGGTACTTGTTTCATGATTTGTTGCCAAAGTTAAAATGCTTACGTGAGTTGCGTTTACATTGTAATAGCATGATGAACTACCAGATTCCATTGGAGATCTAAAGCATTTGCGGTCCCTTGATGTATCCCGTTCTGGGATTACATCGTTTACCTGACACGGTAGTAACTCTCTACAATTTACAAGTCTTGCTTTTGAAATATTGTCGTAAACTTCAGAAGTTGCCTCTAAACATAGGGAGGTTGGTGAACTTGCGCCATTTTGACATGACTGGCGTGGATATTCCATCATCAGAAGAGATGTCGCTACATATAGGTAAATTAACTAGTCTCCAAACATTGTCAAATTTTATAGTGGGTAACGATTGTGGGCGTAAAATAGGAGAGTTGAAAAACCTATCACACATTCGAGGGGCAATACACATATCAAAACTAGAGAATCTCAATGGTGTTAAGGATGCAAGGGATGCCAATTTTATGTCTAAGGAGGAGTTAAAAGAGTTATCACTAGAATGGGATGAATCTCGTAGTTCACAGAATGACATAGTTGAGAGGGATGTGCTTGACGTGATGAGACCTTTCAAATTTTTGGAACGACTCACCATCAGTGGGTATGGCAGTACAAAATTTCCAAACTGGGTTGGAGATGTTTCGTTCTCCAAAATGGTGTTCATGCGATTAAAAGGTAGCAAATGTTGCACATCTTTGCCACCACTTGGACAACTACCCTTGCTTAGAGACCTTTACATTGAAGGAATGAGTGCAATAAAGCGCTTGGGTTGTGAGTTCTACGGGCAGCAGTGTGGTGCCAAACCTTTCCCCTCTCTAGAGAGACTGAGCTTTAAGTTTATGCCAGAATGGGAGGATTGGTCTGCTTTTGAAACAGAGGGAGTTCAGCCGTTCGGTCATCTCAGTGAGCTTTCCATCATAAATTGTCCCAAACTTGTTGGAAGATTACCAAATGATCTTCCTTGTCTCAATTCTCTCAAAATTGATGGTTGTCCGCAGTTGTTGATTGATGTTTCGAGCCTCGTTCAGCCATCACTTACGTCCTTGTCAATGAATAATATTATGCTCCCAAGCCTTCCAGCACTCTTAGGGACGAAGAACACGATTGAACTTGGTTCCCTCACCTTGGATATTAGACATGTTACAGTCCTCGACTCCCTCTGCGATCCAAGCACAATTGATGAAGAGTTACTGGCTAATGAAATGTCTAAGCATTTGACTTCAATAACTGCTTTGAGCATTTCTCATGTTGAAAAACTGGCGTTCCTACCGACATGGTTTACTCGAGATTTGATGGGACTCGAGAAATTGGACATTAGTAACTGCCTAGAACTCATAACATTGTGGTGGAATATGGAGAGAATACAAGTATGTCTCCCTGCCCTCTGCCATTTAAAAATTTCTCATTGCCCCAAACTCGTTTGCTTGTTTGAAGAAGAGCAAGAAAAAGGAGGAGAAGGCTCGAAAAAGCATCAACATGAGGGGCTGCCTTGCATGACGAGACTCGAGTATTTGAAAATTCAAGAGTGTGGAATGCTGAAGAAACTGCCACAAGATCTGCACACATACACATCTCTTGGGGTGCTTAGAATCTATGGTTGTGCGAGTCTGATCTCTTTTCCAATGAAAGGTTTGCCATCTATGCTGAGAGAACTTCAGGTTACAATGTGTGATGCTTTGGAGTCCCTACCCGAGTTGATGACACTCAATAATCTGCAAGAGTTGCGGGTTTCTTACTGTGCGTCACTCACATATTTATTGTCAAGAGGTGGGCTACCATCCACACTAAAGCAACTTTGGATTGACTGGTGTGAAAATCTGGAGTCACTTTTTGCAGAGGAAGGGATAAAAATTGATTGTCCATCTCTTGAAACTATTTGTATCCATTTTTGTGGGAGTCTCAAATCTTTACCAGAAGCCAATGATCTCAGGAATCTCAGTCAATTGGTGATAAGATGGTGTTATAATCTGGAGCCCCTGTCACTTGGTGGTCCTGATCAGAACAACAACATCAACCAATTCACTTCGCTTCAAAAGCTGTGTTTATATGAATGCAGGGCTGGAATGGTCTCCTACTTTGTCAAGGAAGGGAGTTTCCCCACCAACATCACTTCACTTGAAATCGGGAGTTTGAAAGTGGACAAAGTCGGTCAACTTCCAGTTCTGCCTCCATCTCCATTAAAGTGGGGTTTGCACAAACTCTCTTCTCTTACCACACTCATACTTCAAGGCCCGGATTGGCCGTGGGGAGATACGGTGTCCTTTCCAGAAGAAGAGATGTTCCTGCCCACCTCTCTCATCAATTTGACCATCATCCGCTTCCCAAAACTGGAAAGACTCTCTTATGAGGAGTTTCAAAACCTCACATCTCTCCAAAAACTTAAAATCTTGAGGTGCCGTAGTCTCACGTCCTTTCCAAATGAAGGGTTGCCTCCATCTCTTTTGCATCTATCGATCGAGGACTGCCATAAGCTTACAACCTTTCCAGAACAAAGCTTCCCTCCCTCGCTTTTGTCACTGGAGATCTGGGGATCTAATCCAATACTGAAACAGAAGTGTGAAAAGGGGAAAGAATATTGGCCCATCATCCAATACATTCCCCAAGTTTATTTAGATTAAGCAGCCAATTGCAAGGTACAAACAAACAAACACAAAATCTGTCTTACCATTTTTATTTATTTATTTATTTATTTATTTTCTCATTACCAATATCATCTCAGATTTTTATCACAACTGAGAGTTTACTAGCTACTTCTTTTGGATCGTAATGCTGTGTTTGGTCAGGGGATTTGAGTAGGGATTTGGAAAGAGAAATGGAAATTGTAGGTGGAATGAGAATAAAATATGCTTAAATTTCACATAGTTTCACACACCTTTTCCCTTTCCCTTTCCAAATCCTCCAACCAAACACAGTATAAGAGAGTTCCAATTCGTTGTGAATGTTGAAATTACCAATACATCACTAATTAATTAAACACACTGCTCTGTTTTTCAATTCGTTCTTTGTCTTTTCTTTTCAAATATTTTCTTTTCTCTTAATTTTCCCTTAATAATGAATGGATAATTTTCATTATCATTTGTTATTTTATCTTGTATTATTCATAGGTGTTGATGGAAAAATTACCCTAGTACTTTTGAAAAAAATTTTGAATTGTGTGTTTAGTTATGAATTTTAAAAATACTTTTTGAATTGAGTTTGAATTGTACGTTTAGTTATGAGTTTGAAATTTTTTGATTATAATCAATTGTTGTACAGTTAAATTCACTACAAGAAAAAAGGGATATGGCAATGCTTTTGTATGCTTTAAGGATCTTGTATTATTCATAGGTGTTAATTTTCCCTTAATAATCAATTGTAGTGCAATCTTTCTTTACTTTCAGGATTTTTGTAGGTTAATTATCAACTTCATTTTCATATCAAACAATGCTTATGTTAGAGAACATATTCTTCTCATTTGGAAATTGGATTGGTTACTTAATTATTATTGAAATATATATATATATATATATATATATTTGGGGGGTTAAAATTAGTTGGATTTTTGTTTGTTAGGTAAGTAGTCATTTTTGTATTATTGATGAAAATTTTTGGGTGCTTGATATGTATATGTATATGTTTGTGATTAATTAGTCACTATTATTTGTATAGTGTAGGCACTTGCATTTTCTATTAGGTGCAAAATCAAACTTCAAATTATAGTCGTGTTCTTTTGGCTTCCATTGCTGGTAAGTGTTATACTTTTTTATCATAGTAGTGTTTATGTTTATTTGTATTATCTTCAAGGCCTACTTGCTCACTTTGATCTTCTCTCTCTTCACTCAAAATTCTGCATGAAATTTCTGATTTGAAATATATGCAGTGATGAAATTAATATTCCAGATATGAGTATATATTGTAGATATGAAGGGGTATGAGTTTGGAGTGGCCCCTTGAATGAGTTTTGGCTCAATGAGGTGTGTATATTTTGCAGTGTTTAATTGATTTATTTATACGTATGTAGCTGATTTTTTCTTTTTGAATTTCAAAATGGCAATTTTAATAAATTTGCACTAGCTTATAGATGGGTCACTCCAAAAGCTTTAAGTTCCATAAATTCTATTTAAAAAAAAAATTAAACTAAACAACATTTACTTTGTTTGGTTTTAAGTGATTTTGAGTTTTCAAAAACAATACGAGTTTTTTTTTATTTATATTTTTTGTGTTTTCTTATCTTTAGAGGGGGAAAATATATATATTTTACTTTTTAGATGTACCTAACCTATATGCATCTAAAAAGAAAAATATTTGTAATTATTTTTTTTTAAATTCAACAAATACAAAAGAAAAAAAAAATTAAAATATACCAATGTTTTTTTTTAAAAAAAAAAATTGTATGTAAGTGAAGTTTTAAAATATTTTTCATAAATATTTTACTTTTGAAATGTATCTAAGTGTGCAGATTAAGTGAATCTACAAAGTAAAAAAATTACTTAAAATATTTAAAAAGTTCACTAAAAATGAAAAAATAAAAAATTCAAAAACTATTCTTAATAATTGTAAGAGTGATTTAAACTTCTCAAAACAATAGATCATGAATTTATATTTGATGGGGGTCTCTTAACTTTTTGATGAGATTAATTTATATCAAACAAAATATTGATAACATAAATAATTTCTTTTTTTTTTAATAGTTTCATGGGTTACTCAGACACCATCGGTTACTATGTGGAGTCGCCTCTAAACAAGATACATCTCCACTACTTAGTGGTGGACATTGATCACATTGACGACTACGATTGGGGTGGCACTGCTCTAGTCACCCTCTATAGATACGCTAGTGTTGTCATGCACCGCTGAGAGATGACCATCAAAGGGCATTAGAAACGATGGAAGGTACAATTTACTGTTTTATGTCATTTCTACATTGCACATGTCATTTATGCATTTATTCTAAAATTTTTTCCTCATCTTGTACCAATTAATTCTCTAAATTGTAGATCTAGAACTTTGAGTATTTTAGGGCAAATGTCCCTGACGCTTAGGAGATAGACTAGCACGTCGTTCCTTGGTTCCGACAATACTTCTGTTAGCATCACCACCAGGCCCCACTATTGTTGAGCTTTTACAAGTTTAGATAGTATTTCGACATAGTGACTCTCGATCAAGCAATTGGATTAATCCCTCTTCAATCATGTGCTATGTTGCTTTCATTCATTATGCTATGAGATTTCTAAATGTCATGCTTGTCTTGTTTGTGACTTGGGCGTTGTGGGCAGGTGTGGCATCAAATACCGTGATGTGCTTCATCGCGGTGCTTGACATCACTCTGGTGAGTTGGAGAGGATTTTGCTAAGGGCCCCTTCTGTCTAGTTTGGTGTTTCAACAAGTGGGGATGCTGCTAGTCTATGGGAATGGCTGCCCCCAGAGTGCTTGCCGTGGTACCAGATTGCATGCGGACTACTGACACCTTCACTCCAGAGGACATCATACCAGCCATAGAGGGCACCAATGTAGAGATCTTCTATGGTGTGGCATCTAATTCCTTCATGACCACAACTTCCTTACTAAGTGCAGGCAGAGAAGCATATATGGCATAGTGCAATCCATCCGTCCTCAATATTGTGATCAATTTACTGCGCATGCACCTTGTGTGAGATAAGAGTGTGTGTTTCCTTTTGTTATGAAAAATGATAGGAACCCACCCTTACGAATCTTGAATTTACCTTGAATGTGTTTGTGTAGTAGAGATTGAATTGATGAAGTGTGGGGTCTACATATGAAATGAATCTAAGTCATTGATTTCTTTGTTTAGTAAATTCTAGGTAGACAAGGGTGAGTTTGTAGTATTGTTGCTTTTTTATAGGAGGCATAGTTACTATTTCATTCGACTAGTTATTTTATTTATTTTGTTGCCATAATTTCATTTTTACAAGTTTTTATTTTCAAAACCATAACGTTATAAATTTTAACCAATTGAGATTTTACTATGATAACGTTAGCTTAGACAATAAAATCCAACCACTACCATCACTAATCATCACAACAATCATTACATATTTTAATTATCATATCAAATTTCTTATAATTTGAAATATAAAAATCAAATAAAGAAAACCCAAAATTGATTAAAAAATCAATTTGTACCAAAAATCATAAAATTAATCAAGATTTTTGAAGCAAATCGATTTTTTAGGAACCTCCATAATTAATTTATGTATATTGCACATACATATCACTCCCTACATTAAAGACTCCAACATGAAACCCATACTTTGATGTGCACACCATGCCTTTTTGGTGATTATATATATATATATATATTTGAGAAGCAAAGAAATAGATATATATTAGCTTGAGTAGCCTTTAGCTTGTCTAGATAGTACATGAGTCCATATTAACTTTAGAAATACAAAGAAAATCAAAATGCCTATTAATTCGCTTAATATCATTAATAATAGCCGCAATGCTCCAATCAGGGATGCCTTGCCGTTGCAAAGTAGATACCAAAACTTGACTATCCGTGAAAATGGAGATGCATAACAGATGCTGGCCTTTAGCCCAATGAATAGCTTACTAGCACGCTTTAACTTCGGCCAGCAATGGAGAAGGAAGCTGCATCCTAGAAGCATAATCTTGAACTCGTGATTGATCTATGTTGAAACAAACACATGACACGCCCACACTTTGATCAACTGCCCACAATGAACCATCTATGACAAAAGTCAGTCTACACCTAGTAATCTGTCACATTAGAGAGAGAATTTGCAAGCATACATATATCATCATTATTATAAACATCAGCAGTAGATTTTGAGGTATTAAAGCCTGCTCTAAACATGGGAATGATCTTCAAGTAACATTAGAGGTGAGCTCTTGAGCAAGAAGATTTGCTTGTAATTGTGTCATGTTCATGCCTTTAAACACAACTATTTCTCTGACGCAAAAAGGCCCAAAGAATAGCAATGGATTGGACAATAATTTCATGATCCCAAACCTTCTTTATCTTTTGTTTGAACCAATCCAGAAAAAAAACATGGGATTTCCTCTAGAAAAATTCAAGCCTAACGAAGAAGCTCGCCAAACTAGTTGAGAATACTGGCATTCAAATAAACAGTGTTCCACAGTCTCAATCCCTTTATCACATCATGGACAACTAAGCTTAGTGGAAGCTTCTCTCCCATATAACACCTATCGGACTGAAAAGATACAATAAAGCCACTTCTATAAAAAAGCGTCCACTTAGGAGGTTGTCTAAGATTCTACAATCACTTTCAAATGGGATCACCAAATTGGTGACGTGTACCCCTACGGCCTGAGCGCGCTGCATACAAATAAAAAGCCTTAATGGTATATTGGCCGAATTTAGTAAAGCCCCAAATAATTTGATCTCGCAAAGGCACCATCAATAAATGAAACCCTAATATAATCTATGCACTCCAGTGGAAAGAATACTCATAGAAGATTGATCCTCCAAGCATGATTTGGAGTATCAATGAAATGAGATAGATTCAAGCATGTTGGATTATGACTAGTTGAAATCCATTGATCCTCCAAAGAGGATTAATTAACTTACCATCCCCTACCACCCATCTTATCTCCGGTTTTAACAAGTCTCTTCCTCATAAAATTCCTTTCCATACCCATGAAACATTGCTCTTGACATTATCAATAAGAAAAGATTGAGACGAACAATATTTCCCTGACAAAACCTTGGAGAAGAGGGATTTAGGGTCAATCAAAATCCTCCACACATGTTTGGCTAGAAGTGCTTGATTAAAGACTTAAATATAATCATCCCTTGGTCTACTAATTATAAACACCAAAAGCATTTGGTAATTATAAAGAACGATGAATGACTTGAAACTGAGCTTTTCACTTAGTTTTTGTGAATTATAATATGTTAAATAGTCTTCAATCTCTAATCTAAACATCAATGAACTATTTTTGTATTTTTATTTCTGTATTTCAATTTATATATGTAATTCATGGTTGGGATGCATATTTAATGTAATCTTTTGAAAATCAAAATAACATTTCAACTAAAATCACAAGAAAAGGGCATGTTTTACAAGACAAATCAGTTCTTTTGATAACTAATGAAAATGATAAAAATATGGACTTCAGAACTTTTAGGTCATGTTTGATTCACAGTGAAGTACTAATAGTCATATTAAATTAGTGTGGTATTCACTATCCAATTGGATTAATATCTATTAGATTAATAATCCCACCCCTACCCCATTACTAATAATCCTACAAATTTATTGGATTAATTATCCATTGGATTAATAATCCAAAACCAAAATGTTAAAACAAACATAGGATAATTGAGCCCACGGATTAATAATCTCAATCCCATGCTCTAATCCACCCAATCAAACATGCCCTTAATGAAATAAAAGAGAATTTTACTAAACAATTATGCTTATGATAATTAATTTTCACTGAATTAAATTCTTTTAAATTGAAAAATGATAGTTGGTAGTTTAAAGGGGAAATATCATTATAATGTCAGTACAAAAAATATTTTCAATTTAGCAGTTAAAGTTAATTAAATTTTCTTTCCATATTGCAAGGTTTCCACTAAATTAATATATATATATATATTTTTTCCAACTATTCATTAAAATGGCATTTCCCTTGTTTAGTTGGAGTTGGAGTAAAGAGTTATATTGCGATCCAAACACTT